GGGGGAGGAGAGGGTGGAGCCGCGGGCGAACGCAGGTGCAGGCAGTCTGGAAGGGAGGGGGCGGCACCCTCCCCAGGTATAAAAACTGCAGAGTCAGGAGGGGAAGGGGAGGCGAGGTGGAGGATGCTGGATGAAGAGACTGAGAGGCACGAGGAAGCAGCGGGACAAGCCGACTGGTGAGCGGACGAGTGAGGGTGATGTGTTGAGGCTCTGTGCCCCATCAGCCAGGTTGTGGGAGAGAGGTTAATCTCCCCCGCCTTAGGGCCCTGGGCTGGGGTCTGGAGAGAGGGAGGGCCCGGACCCCCCTCACCTCCTTGCTCGAGGGATCGTCTGGGCGACCGAAGGGAGGGTTGACCGGACACCGTTTAATGAAGACCGGGAGTGACTGAGACAGCGAACGGAGCAGAATTGCCTGAGCTGGGGTGAGCCCCTTTACCCCGTAACAAGCCCCTTATATTGAACCCCATAAGGCCAAGTCAGTTGACACAGGCCAGCTAAGGTTATATAATTAAATGTAGGACTTCACTAGTGCCTATATTCTGTCTTGGCTCACAGCATAAGGTTATATTTTACCGTTTTAGAGTTGTCACGGTGCAGCCACATTTTCTGCTGAAGCCACTGAGCTCTGGGTATGCCTATGGGAGGGAGATAGGGACCTGTGTATCCACCTGAATGGCTGCCTAACAAAGGAGAATAAAATGTATGCTTTGTGCTGGAGTTGTGTAGACACTGCAATAATCTGTCTGACCTCAGTGGAATAATACCACAGAGGACTTTGTCCCTGTATTTGTCCATTTGACTGTAGAGCTATATAATGGCAAAAAGTTAAATAACAGCTAAGCATTCTGGTTGGATTGATGGCAATTAGGAAGAGGGCTGAAGGGCTGTGCTCAATATTTTGACAATGTCTTGGTGTAATTTTAATAGTGGGAAATGTTGTGTAGATGGCCAGAGCCTCTCTGTGGGTTCTCAGTGATCTACATTTTTGCAGACTGGCAGGATACCATATCAACACAGGGCTGCTGAGATCCTGAGAAGACAGCATGCCCTGTTGCCTCTGTCCCACTGAGGGACAGAAGAGGTGCTCAGATACTATGGTGATGCGTAGCAGGATCGGCGGTGGGTAATACAGGCTAGGGCAGGCATTGCCTTCCCAAAACTGCCTACGTTGCCCAGCTGCCTGGGAGGGACTGGGTGCCCCAGTCCGTCAGCTGGGGTTGGGTGGGGCTTGGCTGGAGGGGCTGTTGAAGGGGCAAGGTCTCAGGGGAAGAGGCATGGCTTCAGGCAGAAGGGATGAGGCTTTGATTCCCCAGAGAACTCTCATGTAATCAGAATTCTGATTTAGGTGACCAAAAAAAAAAAAAATTATAACGGCTAGATAACACCCATCCCTCATGGCAATCCAGGAAATTAGGAGTGAATCATAGGTGCCCAAATGGTAGCTCTGGCACTTCTGGAAATGTATGGGCTATATTCCTGGGGAATTCCTGCAACTGGAAGGGAAGTAGACAGACATGGCTTTGCCTTCCTTCACAATGGCCAGGAGAATTGCATGAACACACAATGGGGAAAGGGACATGTTTCACCTCATACATGGGCATCACAAATTGCTCCCCATAAAGTGCAAATGAGGAGCCCTGAAAGGCATTGTGTCTCTGTGAATGCATTTTGAATGGAGTATAAAGAATATCAGTTTCCACAAATACTGCTGGTAACTATTTAGATCTCTATTTCCATAAATGAGGGTTTCAGAACAGGCTCCTGAATGTAGCTGGCCTATTCCTGCTAACATTGTCTGGACAGGGAATACCATATTACTTTTGGCTCAGTCAGCCATGTAGCTCAATGTCCTGCCAGGAGTTTGTGGGCCAGAAAGGTATGCCAGTTTGACAGTGTTCACACTGAGGCCACTATAACACGCCATGACTCATCACCACAGGCACCTCCTGCTGGACACTCTGGGAATTTGCTTTTCAGCTCTGGAACACCCCCTTTCAGCTGGTGTCACACCCATTGTTACCTGTTTTTCTCAACTGCTGTGTTTGGACTCCCATTCCTCCCTGACTGTGGCATCCTCCCCTCTGGGTACTATCCTTGCACAGTGCCCCCCACTCTGGGGTCCTCCCTCCCTTGCACAGTGCCCCCCACAGTGCCCCCCACCCCTCTATGCCCACCTTACCCCAATGAACTACTGCCAATCATCATCTAGCCCCTTACCTCAGGGGCAAACTGTAGTCTGAAATGGCCACTCATCGTTTGCAAAGGGGTATGGACCTGCTACTTTCTGCTATTCTGGCTATGTCCCCTAGTACCCTCTGGCCTTGCTTCAGGCTCCTGTAGCCCGGGAGCTTGTCTGGCCAGTGCTCTAGCTTCTCTGGCAACTAAGTTGCTCCTACTCCCCAACTAAAGCAAGAGTGAGTCTGACTCTAACCTTCCAAGAGCCTTTATTTATACTGCCCTCAGCTGGGCTCTAATTGGCTAGTACTTGCCACAGCTGCTCCCAGAGCTGGGTTTTAATCTTTAACGGGCCAGTGTGGGACAGATGCCCTGTTATAGCCACTTTGGAACTGAATAGATGCCAGAATGTCCCAGCTGGGAAAAATAGTCTCAGACAATGTCCCAGGCAATTATCTCTGACCTGTCTTCATGTATTCTTCACCATTTGGAAATGTTGCAAAAAACATATGGGAGAGCAGAGGTAACAGACAAGGAGTAGGTAAGGGGGGAAAGTACAAAAGTTTATATGTATGGATCTGGTCACAGAAACTTCAAAAATGTCAGTTGTGTATTTGGAGTTTGTGCAAAATATCTTGACTTCATGGAACTTCAAAGAGAAATAGAAAATCTAATAAGAATAGATTTGTATAGTAGGAGATTAGTGGGTCTTTTTAGTTCTATCTAGAACCTGATAACGCAAAAGCAGAGGAAGTTAATAGAAATACATAGATCATCATACATTTGAGAACCTAAGCACAAGGTTTACATGTGTTCATTTCTAGAAATAGGTAAAGAGTTTACTGGAGTGGCTCAAACATTTTTAGAAATCAATGAGAATGGTTAAACACAGATTTTTTTTTAACTACGTATTTGATCATGTAGGGAAGGAAGTTATCCTAGCCTCTGAATTTGATTATTTGAGTGCAGGAAAGTGTGAGAGAGCTAGAAATTTACAGCTTGACCTATATATGTTCCCAAACAGTACATCAAGGGAAGGGAAACATCCATCAGCTTTTTGTGTTTCAATGACCATCTCTAACCAAAGGCATCTCCGTGCTTTTACATTAGAGCTGTACATCTGGTCTGTATCTCAATGTAATAGGACTAATAGCCTCCTGCAACAGCACCTTCCACTTCCAGTCTTTATCTCACTCTCATTGGTGTCAAACAGGAGTTACTGACTGAAGTCACACTGAATTGCACTAGCTTTTAACTAGCATAAAAGTGAATTCTGCATCAAGGCCCGGGTGTCTATTGCAGTGTAATTACAAGCTGCATATGCCGTCAAAATGAACACCTCGACTCATTATCTGGGCAAGCCTGCCAAATCAAATTCATTTTCTAGACTAAATAGTCTGTATGATAAATAAAGCAACCTTGATGTTTGTTTTCTGTATTTTAGATCAGATAATAATAGCCTTCTCAGTGTCCATGGTGATTGGACTGGTGATCGGAGGGATAATCTGGGCTTTGTTTACATGCCTGTCCCGTCGCAGAGCCAGTGCCCACATTTCGCAGTGGAGCTCATCGACTTCTAGCCACCGTTCCAGACCTTCTCCTCAGAGCCATGCTGCCAACAGGACTGGATTCTACCGCAACAGCAACTGCGAACGTCGCAGCAATCTCAGCTTGGCCAGCCTCACCTTCCAGCGGCAAGCTTCCCTGGAGCAAGCCAACTCCTTCCCAAGAAAGTCAAGTTTCCGAGCTTCCACTTTCCACCCCTTTTTGCAATGCCCTCCACTCCCTGTGGAAACTAACAGTCAGCTGATTACTCTGACTCCCACTAGCACCACCACTACCCTTGTGGGGAACAACACCAACAGCTTAACTCGTCCTGAATTCCACTGGTCCAACAACAGCCTCCGCATCTGTCATTCAACACAAACACCGCCTCCTGCTTATGAGACCATCATTAAAGCTTTTCCAGATTCCTGAACTAGAGACTTCCTTTATTTTGTTTAGGGGGGGGGGGGCTCTCCATCTTCTGAAGCACATTTTCTGTATGCTTAAAAGGCCTCTGGGAAGCTCCCAGTAGCTGTGGCATGTCACAGGCAAGCAGAAAGGACATGTGTAGATGACACTGATTTGCTATGGCAAGGTGTGGTATCCTATAGCCACAAGATTCCTACCACCCAACTTAACTGGTTTGCAGTGTAGTTCTGAATTTATATTATACCTTTAATTTGTAATCATTGTAAGGCTTTTAATTTAGAAGGCAGAAACTTCTGTAGTCTACAATATATGCAACTTAAATGAAGAAACAAGCCACAACAGGAATCATTTGTTGATAATCACTTATTAATTTCCTGAAAAGTTCACATGTTCATTTTGTTTATGAGAAAACCTTGTTTTATGCATATCTCTGGGCATTTTAAATTTTCAGCAGATACTTTCCTTCATTTTTTAGATCCTGGGCCATCTCTTTGCCTCCTAAACTACAGGGTGAGGAATCCCTTGGCTGAAGTAAAGTGATTTTAGCATCAAAGGTCTTGTTGACAATACCAATTTTTGTCACCAAAAACTGTCTTTTGGCACACTTGGTCATGCAGACAAGCTCACAGCATTGTGGTAGGTACGAGGCCCCCTGTTCTGATATTTGTAGGTGAACTCTAAATAACCTCAGGCCAGTCCCACTTACAACAAATTCCCAACAATATGGCAAAAAAGATGGAGTATCCACAATTTGAGCCATGGGAGAGATTTCTAACCAACTGAAAAAAGGAATAACTCTATAAAAGGACTTTATCCTGCAAATTAACAAGGATCACTTTTTATTACCCTAAAAGGTTACACAGATAGTAGTCTTGGTCCCCAAGATAAACAATATGAATGCCAACTGTTTATTTTTTTAATTGAGCTTCCTGTTTCTCTCTGGGAATACTCATTTCCTTTCTTTAAATTGTTTTTCAATTTATACTAATGTTTCATCCTTCCTGCTGCGTAATACAGTGAAACCTGCATTTTGCTAAATGAAAAAAATTTAGATGTCTAGGGTAAAACCCTGGCCTATCCAAATTCATTGTCAAAACTCCAGGATTTAAACCCATCAATCTACAACTGCTTTAGAGAATGAAGATGCTTAGGACAGATTAATGCCTGTTTTTGACTGTCAGACCTGTAGGAATATTATAACAAACATGCTGGGTCACTGATTTAGCAGTAACTGCTAAACCACATGTGAGATGTCCAGACATATGAGCACAGAGGCATGGAGCCTTATCTAACTCTTTTTGACTACAATAGAAGTTGGAGAGCCCCAGAGAGTACTATCTGCTGTGCAACACTACCATTTCCTGGCTTATTAATAACTCTTTGGCTCTTATAGAAGGTTAGGGGAAGAGGCATTAGTTATAATGAGCCGAGTTCTACCAGGCCTGATCTTGTGCATCTACAGAAGACCTGCAAGCACAGATTTAGTTAATGGGAGCAGCTCTCAGGAGCAAACAAAGTGGATAATTTGAATTTCTTCACTTTCAGCAGCAGCTGAGGGTATCCATTGTCTCTCAGTGCTTTTTGTGAATAGACCCAAAGTAACTATAAACAGCTTTTTATCACCGCAGTCTCTAAGCCTTCTATTTTCTCTTTGCAACCATTACTACTAGTGCTAAAGGACCAATCCAGGTTTCTAACTTTAAAGGGAAATTCATTTGAATGTATCAGACTGACTGACTTGTTCTTTTTATCTGCAGTTTTTTTCATTTTAAGAAGTTAAGTCTGATTGCTAAAGATGCACATAGTCCATAGATTGCATAAGCATTTAATTGCCGAAACTATGGATTACAGTAAACTAGGGACATTTATATGTCTGAAAATGCCATCTGACTTCAGTGATGGCAGGATATGGTCCTAAAATAGTGAATAGAGATGTGTTCTCTACCCTTTCTCGTAATACAGAATTCAGGGTTTGCCCAATTAAATAAGTAGACAACAGGTTTAATACAAACAAGAGAAAGTACTTTTTCACAAAACGTTCAGTTAGCTTATGGAACTCATTGTTATGGATGTTGTGAAGGCTAAAAGTATTACTGAGTGCAGAAAATAATTAGATAAGTCCATGGACAATAGGTCCATCAATGGCTGTTAGCAAAGATGGTGAGGGATGCAACAATATGCTTAGGCCCACCCTAAAGCTTTGACTGACAGAAGCTGCAAGGGGAAGAAAGTCCTCTGTTCTGCTACACTCCCTGAAGCTCTGATACTGTCTACTGTTGGAGTCAAGATACTTGGATTGATGGACCATTGGTCTGCCCCAGTATGGATGCTCTATGTTCTGATGTAAAATTATAATCTTTTATAGGAGGAGGCTTCTATGATTGCATTAGATCTCTTAATGAATTCTAAAGGCATGCATGGTGTCTAAGCTCTCTCTTGCAGTTTATAGAATCATAGAATACTTGATAATGGAAGGGACCTTGAGAAGTCATCAAGTCCAGTCCCCTGCACTCATGGCCGGACCATGAATCATCTAGAGCATCCCTAACAAGTATTTGTCTCACCTGCTCCTAAAAATCTCCAATGATGGAGATTACACAACCTCCCTAGGAAATTTATTTTAGTGCTTAACCATCCTCACAATTAGGAAGTTTTTCCTAATGTCCAACCTGAACCTCCTTGGCTGCAATTTATGCCCATTGTTTCTTGTCCTATAATCAGAAGTGAACAATTTTTCTCCCTCCTCTTTGTAACAACATTTTAAATACTTGAGAGTCGTTATGTGCCCTCTCAGTCTTCTTTTTTCCAGACTAAACAACCTTAGTTCTTTCAATCTTCTCCTACAGGTCATGTTTTCTAGACCTTTAATTATTTTTGAAGGTCTTCAGACCTTGTCCAATTTGTTCCCATCTTTCCTGACCTGTGGTGTCCAGAACTGGACACAATATTCCAGCTGAAGCCTAATCAGCTCATAATGTCATCAGTTGTAACGTACTTATAAAAAAATTACATGTAATCCTACTCCTCTTGCTCATTGACTTTACTGGTCTACTTGAATGAAAACAGCAAGGAGAATTCAATTCACAGTGTGTAACCAAGTTGTTGGAAATTATCATTCCTTCACAGTGAATTAATTTTAAAATAACTGAATATGTACTTTATGGTTATAAATTCAGGATTTGCAATAGAGCTTTACATTATATATTATTCCTTGTATTATACTATATTTAGTAAGTGATATTAGGAAGAAAAACTATAAAGTACTGTATTTTTTCTTTTGAAATCTGCATTGGACACAAACTCATACATTCTCTGCATTAACGAAGTGAAAAATATGAACTATTCTTTGCATAACCAATGTGGAAACCAGCTGCTTAACTAACAGCTTAAACAATAAACTGAAATAAATATTTTATAAGCATTGTTGAGACTTTGGAATGTGAAATAAAGGCAGAAATTATATTTTGTACTGCCTGATTTTCCTTAAACTACATTTTACTCCTGAGAGAACTGATTTATATGTAAAGTCCTTGCTGTAGAAAGTAGACATAATATAATTGTGGAGTGCAGCATTTATCCTATGGTAATAAAACCCAAAGGGTGGAAGTTGGTACTAGAAAAATTCTAGTATCAACAAGAGGGACAAGACTCAATTGTTTAACAGAGAGAGTAATTAACAACTGAAACCACAGGATGTTGTAAATCCTCTGTCACCTATAGTTTTAAAATTGAGACTGAATATCTTCCTAAGAAATATGCTCAAAAGAGTTCAAGATGGTAGGTTAGTGAGCATTATGTCCTTGATCCAGGAAAGTAGGTAAGCATACATTTCAGCATTTAAGTAGTGCCTCTCAAATCAATGTTTTATGAGGTGGGCTTTTTTTTTAAATTAATTCAATTTTTTTAGAGGTGGAATTATTAGGTTTTTTGGGAAGTCATTCTTTTCAGAGCAATTGTACTGTCCATGTGCAACAGCATTTCCTACAGGAAGATTTCAGTGCCTCTTCAAACAATAAATTAATAATCCTTGTAACAATTCTAGACAGCAGCTAATCATTACTTACACCTTTTTAGAGAAGAGTGGGGAGGTGCAGGATGAGGGGGATATGAAGCAAAGACTTGCACACAGTCACACAGGAAGTCACAGGCAGAGCTATGATCAGAACCCAGATGATACTCAGTCCTGAACTTTTAAAGCCCTAGATAATACTTCCTCTTCTTTCTTAAATTGAAATACTATCCATGCATTAAATTGCACACAGTAGCTATTGCCCAGGTTTCATGCAAAGAACAGGTTAATGTCATTAGAAACTATGTCTACACAGCAGCATTATTTCGGAATAACAGACATTATTCCAAAATAACATAGTGTGCGTCTACACTACAAGCCGTTATTTCAAAATAATGTTCAGCTGGAGGTCTCCTTACTCCAACTCATGATAACCCTCATTTCACGAGGAGTAAGGGAAGTCAAAGGAAGAGTGTTCTTCCTTAAACTTCGTGCTGTGTAGACAGCGCCAAAAGCTGAATTAAGCTATTTCGACTTAAGGTACACAATTGATATAGCTGAAGTTGCATAGCTGAATTCGACTTTAGCCCTGCTGTGTAGACGTACCCCAGGGTATTAACACGAGTAGTTTACACTGTTGTCCATGACCTTTCCTTCCTGAAGAATTTCTGACTGTTTGATTATACTACTACTCCAAACATGGCATGCTTTTGTCAAATCTAATTTTTAAAGTTCACTTGCAATTTACCATGAAGTTTTTGAGTCATCTTGACATCTAGTCTTAAGTATGAACTGAAAACTACATTTACTGGAAATGTCCACTTAGAAATGAAATGACACATGCCAGATCCCTGACCTATAGGCACTTTATAAAATTAGACAATGTGATGCACTGCAGCTTCTGGAGAAAAGGGAAAAAAATGAATAGGAAATTTACCTCTAACAAGTCCAAAACAGATTATAACATCTCAGAGGGATAGCCATGGAGTCTGTATTTGCAAAAATAATGAGTCTTATCGACACCTTAAAATTGCATACATGCATGTATCTGATGAAGTGGTTTTTACCCACGAAGACTTATGCCCAAATAAATCTGTTAGTCTTCAAGGTGCCATGGGACTCCTGTTGTTTTTACAAATTATAAAGTACATCAAAACCATTTTCTTTAGCGAGGATTACTATAATTCAATGCTGTCTAACATTTTCAAAAATAGGTGCCTAAAGATAGGCACATAACTTTTATTAAGGTGCTCCCCCCCCCCCCCAAAGTACCTGATTTATCCAGGGGTTGACTTCAGCGAGGAACTAATGTTCTACTTAAAAGCTGGTAAATAAAAACAAAATCCATGTTACATGTGGGTTATAGTTCAGTATACTAACAACATGAATTTGTATTTCTGTAGCACTTTTCACCCAGCAGGATCATTAAACCCCTTCCAATATGTAAACTTCACTCCAGGACTGGACGTGGCTACTGCTAGCTTTTCCTGGACCACAGAGAACATGATGAGGGGGGAAGTTTCTCAACACCCTCAGTATGAGCAGTATGAGCGGGATTGTAGCCCTATTGTGCTAAGTGCTATGCACACAGAAAAGGAAAATATCATCCCTGCCCCAAAGAACATACAGTCCAAGTAAACTGCTTGAACGAGAGCTCACAATGTTCTCTGGGCCACTAACCAGCATAGCGAAAGCAAAAATGAATGAATAGTGACAAATCATTTACAAAGGTGCATCAGGTTCACTAAGCACACTTGTCATTCTCCCCCACCGGGAAATGTTCGGTTCTGGTTACATTGCCACTTATTGCTAATATGATGGCGGCAGACACATCACAGGCATGGAAATTACTCTGTTGAGCTACTGGTGTAAGCCAGTTTTATGTCTTCTGTCTGTACAAACATGATGAAACGGCAACAGGTGCAGGATTTTCTTGGTTTAGGAGCAAAAAACAGGCTCTTATGGAAACCACACGATAAAAATATTGGTGCTGAGCAGCCATTTGATTTAAGTAAGGCTTGACTGGGGGTGTAGGGCAGGTCAGATTATTGGCAATTAACAATAAATCTTTCACAACACCAGATGAAATCCAGACCCATGACTGTAGTTACCCAAAGTCATTGCCAGATGGCAGCTTTTTGATGACTTATGTGAAAAGAAAGGGTGATGCTCAATCCATTCCTAATGGACATGTCTGAAAGTCACAGCTGGCAATAACTTACAGCCTTTTGGATAGTACCAGTTAAGCTATCAGTGATGAAAGGAACATTAAGACTATTCTACTTCCTTAACTCTGAGGCCAAGTCGACACTAGGAGACAAAATTGAACTAAGATATGTAACTACAGCTAAGTGAATAATGTAGTTGGAGTCTACATGCTTTAGTTCAAATTTCCACAGCATCCCCACTGCAGGAAGTTGACAGGAGAAACTCCTCATGGAGTACCAGAGTTGACACAGGCACAATCAGCGATCAGTTTAGCAGGTCCTTACTAGACCCACTAAATCAAATGCCAGTAGATCAATCTCCACACTGTCGATCTCTCAAAGTGGCTATAAGGCCTAACTATGACTGGGTTGAGGTACACTGGTGAGTCAGAATGAGGAAGTTTTCTCTTCCAGTGCTACATGTTCTGCAGATAAATAGCTAACTTCTATTGTCAGAGCTCTCAAAGACACAAATTTCACTGGGAGCTGGCAGTTCAGTAAGGAATTTCTGTCCCTCTCTCTGTGGATTCTCTCAAAATGGTGGTAAAATTACATAGGTCTTCTTTGGAGCCAATTCTTTTGGTACTTTGGCACACAATAGAAAAGGTGATAGTAATTTTGTAAAGCTTTGAAATGTCTTGAAAAATTCTTGTAACTAATTCAGCATTTGGATATTTCTGAGCATACTGTGTAAAACAAGACTGCCTCATGAAAATGTCCCTGTGGACTGAACATAGTTTTGCATCTTTATATGCATATTAGGTAAACTATTCAATAAGTGCCCAAGTGGCTTAGGAGCCTAAGTCCTCTTGGCTTTCTTGGGAACTTTGGATCTTGTGTCTTTTGAAGGTAGAACTTAGAAACTCTTGTAAATGTACATACGTTACAAAATTCCTAAAATGGATCTCTTTCCTTTTTAGAAAAACTGGGATTAAAAAAGTCTTATGTTCAAATATGTTCACGGAACAGGAATAAATCATTTTACCTGTTGGTGAAAATATTGATTATTTTTATTACATTAATCATGCTTTATTAATGCTTCTTGTTCTGAATATCCTGTGATAAATTCACAGATTCCTTTCTTCTGCTGACAGCACACAGCCTTCTTCCTTTTTGTTTCTCTTTTTTATAATTTGCACCAAATCCAAAAGACGATTCAAGCCTCCCACTCCCAGGGATATACCTACACAGTCCATGGAAGCAAGCCTCTGAGCTCAGATTGACAGAGTTGAACTAATAGAGCTTGCTCTACCACATGAAAAATAGCTGTGTGGCTAGAGTAGCTTTGACTCTGAAGCCCACCCTTCTCCCTGCTGCTCACTGTGTAGATGCACCCACTGAGAGCAGCTACATGGGAGTCTGATTGATCTGAAGATGCTGAGGATAACTCAATAGAAGTACTGAAAAGTTACTCTGCTGTTCCACGATCAGAATCTATGATTTGAGGCC